AAATTAAACCAAAATTTTCTTTAATTCCATCAATTTCAATTTTATCTGGCCGAACACAGTCTCAAAGAATTTTTGCCCTTGTCAAATTTTTATATGGAAAGTAGAGAAAAATTAAAAATTTAAAAATTTAAAAAAGGTACTATATCCGTCTCATATTAGTTGTCCATTTCGAAAATTTTGACGTGCTAACAACTTTTATTTTTTAGTCATTTGAGATTATTTTTAATCATATTCTTTTTATATGCTTATATATTACATATATCACATTTTAAATGTCTATTTCGATAACTAAATTTTTTTGAAATATACAACTAAAATAAGACGGAGATAGTATTTGAGAATAATGCGTAAGGGTCACTAGACTCGTTTACTGTTTGGTTGGCCGTCCAAATTGGAGCAGGTAAGTGCGCCGCAAGACGGACGCGCGTGCTTCATTTCCAGAAACATGTCTGTTTCACCACTTGTTGGCCGTTTCATTAATATACATACCATGCTCAAATTCTACATCTTAGGTCACTTAGTTCATCATCATTAAAATTTTAATCTCATGATACTACAAAGTACAAATTCTCTTTGAAATATATATATATATACACTCACACTACAAATTATTACCCTTTTTTTTTTCTTTTTTTTTTTACTGTTGCCCTTTTTCTCTTTTTGGAAATTTCACTGTCCCTGTCAAAGACTTGCCAGAAGTTTTGGGCCAAAACTAACTTTGACCAATTAATCCAACCTCCTCCTCTTCAACTGCCCAACTGATCCTGAATCATCCTAGCCATTCAGTTGGTTGACTTTTTCTGCATAATATTGAAATGTCCCAAGTCCTTCAATTGCGATCTTTGTGTTCTAGAATAAAATGGATAGTTCTCTCTATTAAATTTTATTTTTCAACATTTAGAGGACTATTGATGCCGGTCACGAATGTGACATTTAATTAAGGGATTGATAATTTTTTTAATAATGTCATTTTTTTAAACATTATTTTAGTATAATCCCCGGTTGATCAGAATTTAAACCACTAAGTATAGTATTTTTCTTTTGTTTCAAGTTTTTAACTTGTGTAGCATTTGTTCCTAAAGCGGCTTCCACCTAGACATGTCTGATATATTCATTCCATCATTTTCATTTTTATATTTGTTTAACTTTGGGTAAGTTTTAATTATAGTTTTGTCAATATGTCACATAGATTGTCTTTTGATTTCATAATTTCACTTGTCTTTTCTGTTAGTAACGACTGTCTAACTTGGTAACAATAATATATTATTTTATCATTTCACCCATGAAATGTTTGCTGTCATTTTAGATATTAAAAGGGCAAAACTGACCTATCCATTTTTTGATGTTGACGTCAGCAGATTCTGTTTATCTCCGCCGAGTGCCCTAACGACAAGGAAGAATTGTCATATGAAACCACAATTATGAAATGAAGAGAAAGTCTACATGGGATATAAGTGAAATTTACCCTTTTAACTTTCATAACATTTGTATTCATTGGATCATTTTCACCTATGTTTAATTTTGGGTACATTTCCTTACTACTATTGAGCTTTGTCAATATCTTATATAGACTTTCTTTCAATTTTATAATCGAGTGATGGCGTTAAATTTGATAACAAAAATGTAATATTTTTACCGTTTTGCTTATGAAATGTTTGTTATCATTTTAGATATTTAAAAGACAAAACTAACATTCTATCCATTTTTGCTTCTCACATCGGTATATTTTTTTTGTTTAAGTCAGGTGTCCCAACTGTGTGAGGAAATCCTTTACATAAAACACAATTTTAAAGAAAATAAGTGAAATTATGAAACCAAGGCGATACCGATAAAGTTCAAGATAAGTAAGTGAAATTTACACTTTTAATTTTCACAACAGTTGGCCTCGAATTAATTACAATTATAGAATAGAATATAATTGATCCCGTGAATTATCTTCTTCCATTTTCTTTCTGAGAGTTATATACATATCTTAAATTGTCTAATATAAATATACAATTTATAAAACTTGAGTTAATAATGTTGTTTCTTTAACATGTACTTAGATTTTGGGGAAGATACGTAGAACCGGAATCTAAAAAGCTAACTAATAAACATAAAGAAAAAGGTTGGGATTACTCCAACCGAATATTAGAAGTGAATGTGAGTGATAATGAGAGCAACACCTCCGTAACCTTTCCCTTGTTATTTTGTTGTTTTTGGTTTTTTCCTCACTTGAAAAGTGACTTGAGCTGCAAAAGTTACTCAACTAACCTCAATATATGAGTTTATATAATATTAAAATCTCACCTATAGCTATCAAAACATCTAGGATCTAAACCAGCCTAGCTATTGTACAATATCTACTCTCGGGGATATTTGACTCTCTCAAACAAGCTCCTTTTAAGGGTAGACTGTTATTGAGATTTAAATCAGACTTTTTTTTTTTTTTTTTTTTTGGCTCTCTCTCTCTCACACACACACAAACAAACAACGAAATTATTATCTCATAACATAATATAAAAATAACAATGATAACATATTCATGCACAACATAATATTTTACATGATTCACTTAATTTTGAGATTACAATTATAAAATAAGATATTTTAATATTATGAATCAAGAAATAGAATATACAATTATAGGTCAAAACTCCGATCACTCACTCGTTATTTCTTTTGAAGTTATATGTATATACTCGATAATTACATATATTTTTTTCTCTTCTTATGATACTTACTCTTAAACCCGTTACATATTTTCTCGATCTCTTCGCTCTCTCTACCCAAACTCATTTCTATTTATAGAATATTCAAATCCAATTCCTTATTGGATAAATATTCCCCAACTTATATACAATGAGTTACCAAATCAATTTTTAATTTTAAAATAGGGCATAGCTCCTTTCCAAATCTTCAGCTTTTTTCTCGAAGTCTTATTGCTTCCAAAACTGATTAAGAAGTTAATTCTCACACATATCAGGTAAACTCAACTGATTTTGCTTATTCAAATATCCATTTTGCCCAAACATAATCAGTTCCACTAAAACACAACAATTAATTGCTTTTTATCAGAATAGAATGCTTCGCGTAAATGTTTAGCCAGAGCTCTAACACCAACGAGTCCTTTTACTTTATGACTCAATTTTCATTGATTACACACACACCAAGCCATTAGATAAAGGACAGTAAGAAAATGGAAAGGTCAAAATTGCATATAAAAATCTATATTTTGTCTATAATCATTCCAAATAATACACTCTATACATGTACCCTGATAAATTTTCTCAATGAAAACTATATTTATAGTAATACATACTACGTACCATTTTTGTGATGGACAATGATTATTTATAGACTAGGTTCACCATTATATAAAGAAAAAGTGCTAGCTACAATAGTGACTGTTATAACTGTTGCATCTCGACTGTTTAATTACGTGATACAGTCATGATCGTTGTACTTGAATCGTCCGATCGAATGATTCCTGGTTCCATTAGGGTTAGAGGTTGCATTAGGGTTAGAGGTTGCAGGCCCCTAATAAAATGATTCAAATGGTACTCATCAACCCATTAAAATCTAGGATTAATTGAATTCAAATGGTACCCATCAACCCATCCACCTCCATTTTGACTCGTCAAATTTCATAGGTGGGACCTTGATGCATACATGATTCAACCAGCACGAAGAGAGAGAGAGAGCAAGTAGTGGGTAGCTAGCTAGCTATAAGGGATTAGTTGAGGCGGTCGAGCCGGCCAATAAATGGTGATGTGGAAGGGGCTCTAGTGACGTGGACCATGAAAAAGGCCTAGTCAACAAGGGTTTTGGAATGTGTTTGGGTAACTGAATCGTAACGGCCACAAGGGTAGTTGTCTGAGTTCAAAATGGCCTTGAGGCCTAAACCAAAATGCCATTTTCCAAACTGAGCTTTCAAATGGTTGATTTCCACGCCTAACTGGATTGAATGTCCCTCTGCATCTGTATTCTTTTGTATCTCTCTATTTCACTTCTGTCCCCCCCCCATGTCTAGAATTTAGGGGTACCCTTTTAATTAACTTTTTTCCCAACTTCTTATTACTTGTTTCATTATACCATTTGTACATCAAGTTTAATTGGTTAGTTCTATCTTCTGTCTCCATCAATCCATTATTTATTTGAGCATTTTTATTTGAAAATTTATTTATTTATTTATTATTTTTTTTTTTTGGGCTCATTATATAATTTGAAGGTGTTGAGTTTTAGGTTTTTTTTTCCTATTAAGAATCATGAATCCCGGACATGGGACACGAGTACGAGATGCTAAGAAGATTGGTATAACACATTTTAAAAAAATAAGACTCAAATACAATATAGTAGCATAATATATTATTATATATATAGATATAAATAGTAATAGTTTTTGTTGATTTTATCCAAATAAGTACAAATGAAAAATAACTGATTTAGAACTTAAAACTACTAGTAGATGTTTGTTGTTTATGTTTCCTAATTAACTCATAATATATTTTAAATTGGATTGAATCTCAATCTTCTAAGAAAAATAATTACAGATCCATTCAGTCATGTACTGATTGAATTTGTTCAAAACAGTTTTTCCAATTGTCCAATTAGGAAATAAAATATTTAAATTAGAGGACAAATGTGTGTACAATCTACAAGTCCGACATTACCATGGCACTCTGAAGCAAAATTATTACATGATTTGAGACTACATGATTCTAACTAATCACAACTTATTACACAAGCAAAAGTTATATAAATCTGACACATTATTTCATGTGTCGACTTGTGATCCTCGGAGACCATATAGTCCCTAGCAATGTAAAAATTTCTCCAGCATGCTAGGGTATTGGATGAGACACATTTTAGAGGAGACACATAGTGATATTGTTTTCCTAAATTAAAACTTCGAGGGCATAAGAGTATTTTATTTGAAGACATTATTGATAAACAGTGATTAAGACCCATTGTGTATAAAAGCCAAACCAAGCCTTAGGATTAGCAGCCCGTCTTAGTCTCCAACCCCTTTTCTAATCCTTTTATTAATGCCTACAACTCAATCAATGATCAACCCATAGTCCCTACCATCAATTTCTCTTGTTTCAGCTCCTTCTCTCTCTACAAACACATTTAAATCCACCACCACTCCACAACCCAACTAGAGACCCTCACACACTCTCAGCTACACCACAATACTTCTCACCTATGGAAATGGTGGTCGACGACATCGTAGCCGACCTCGACTTATCCAGTTACAGCACCACCACCACAACAACCACCACCACCACAAACAGCATAGAAGACGAACATGGCTGCAACTGGAACGATGTGTGGTCTCCGGTGGTGGACTGGGACGTGCTCTCCGGTGACACCACGGACTTCCACGACCTAATTGAATCGATGATGGACGACAACACCGGCCTCCAACTCCCCGGTAGGCTTGTCCATGTCCAAGAAGAGTCCAACTCTGTCATGTCCACAGACACAGTCATGGCGGAGGAAGAGACAACGGGTGGGGGCGGCAGCGATGATTTCAAAGGGCTGAGGATCGTCCACCTTCTGATGGCCGCGGCGGAGGCGCTGACCGGCGTGAACAAGAGCCGTGATCTGGCTCGGGTGATATTGGTTCGGCTCAGGGAGTTGGTGTCTCCTACTGATGGCACTAACATGGAGAGGTTGGCCGCGTATTTTACCGAGGCCCTCCATGGTTTGCTAGAAGGCGCCGGTGGTGCGCACGGTAAGCACTTGTTGGGGAATGGACCCCACAACCGTGAGGATCACCATCAGATGGATGTCCTTGCCGCATTTCAATTGTTACAAGACATGTCACCCTATGTTAAGTTCGGACATTTCACAGCCAATCAAGCTATTTTAGAAGCCGTGGCCCATGATAGGAGGGTCCACATAGTGGACTATGATATCATGGAGGGGATTCAATGGGCATCGTTGATGCAAGCTTTGGTATCTAGGAAAGATGGCCCACCGACTCCTCATCTTCGTATCACAGCGTTGTCAAGGAGTGGGAGCGGCCGTCGATCGATGGGGACCGTTCAAGAGACCGGTCGTCGATTGATCGCATTCGCAGCTTCAATTGGCCAACCTTTCTCGTTCCATCAATGTAGACTTGACTCGGATGAGACATTTCGGCCGTCCACTCTAAAATTGGTGAGAGGAGAGGCTTTGGTGATCAACTGCATGCTACACTTACCTCACTTTAGCTTTCGTGCCTCGGACTCGGTCGCTTCGTTTTTGTCTGGAGCAAAAACCCTAAACCCAAGATTAGTGACCCTAGTGGAGGAGGAGGTGGGACCAAGAGGGGACGGAGGATTCGTGGGCCGGTTCATGGACACATTACACCATTACTCGGCGGTTTATGATTCGCTCGAGGCTGGTTTTCCAATGCAAGATCAAGCTCGGGCTTTGGTGGAACGGGTATTCTTAGGCCCACGAATATCTGGGTCATTGGCCCGAATCTATCGCACACGTGGCGAAGAGGAGGGATGCTCTTGGGGAGAGTGGTTAGGTGCAATGGGGTTCAGTCCCATTAAAATAAGCTTTGCCAATCATTGCCAAGCAAAGTTGTTGTTGGGACTATTCAATGATGGCTATAGGGTGGAGGAGTTAGCTAACAATAGGCTCGTTTTAGGGTGGAAATTCCGGCGCTTGCTTTCAGCTTCTATTTGGACTTCCTCGGATTGTGATTTCTAAATTATGTGTTTCTTTTTTCTTCTGCTTTTTGTTTTTTATTTTCATTCTTGTAAATAAATTGTATTTCTTGATTTTGATTATATGTTATTTTTCCCATATTATTTCCTACGTTTGTAAAAGCAAAAATTTTTGTAAATTACTATGACATATAGAGCTACATAATACGGTAATGAATATGACGCAATGGTTTTGGCATGGAAGCGCTTTCTCAATGTTACAAACTTGCAATTGATTCCAATGTTAAAACATTAAAATCTTGAAGAAGGCACATATTTGAGACTAAGAATAGGCATCTTGTATTAGAATAATATAAAAAAAAATTAGGTCTATTTGTAATTTTTTAATCTCATACCTTGCAAATACACGAGACAAGAAGTAGAACAACAGTCAAATGGTTCTCAAATTACCATTTTCAATTTTAAAATAAACCAACTCTACATTAATACAAAAAGTATAAAAAATAAATAAATAAAGGGTAATAAAAACTAATAGGTGTGTTGATCTATCCGTGACATATAACTTTGGTGATTATTTTATATTTTGAATGAGTGTTGATGACACGTTTTCAATCGAACTCTTTGTAATCCTCACTCTCTTTTTTGCATTTATATACTACCATATAGGAATTCAGTTCTTCCCTTGTGCAGGATATTTAATTACGCTTCATATTTTGCTATTGTAAAGCAACTCATCATAATTCAACAGCCTTGCAACTCATGACGGAGTGCATCATTATAAAATAACAAATTAATATAATTATTGCATAAGAAATATATACGCGGCAACACAAGATAAAGCAGAGAGAATCTAAATTCACTGCATAATTTGTATAAAGGAGCAATTTGATACCAATAGGCCAGTAGTGGCCTAGTGTAATGGGTGGGCGCTTGCCCATTTATTCAAAAACTCGAACTTTCGATGTGGGACAAAATGACCCTTGTTACATTCTCCCCCACCCAAACTCGCAACGCCCTCGTTGCGGTTGGGCCACCCTGCCTACCCGGGTGGACTCATGGCGTGACACCGGATTAAGGATTGGGTTTGGCTCTGATACCAACTGTAACGGGTGGGCGCTTGCCCATTTACCCAAAAGCTCGAACCGTTAGGTAAGGTTGCATACCCACCCATTTATACCCAATCTCTTTCCCATCCGATTCCGATGTGGGACAAAATGACCCTTGTTACACCTAGCGATGCCAGAATCTTACTTCTCAAAAGAATATTAAGAATTTAAGCCTCAGTGAAAACATGTGTGTGAATACCAACTTAAAAAATATAATAATAAAAGAGTAATTTGATTTGATTTATTTCATCATATTATTACATTTTAATTGTATGTTTGGTGAGAAAAGAAGAAAAAATAATTTCAAAAGTATCTCTAGTTCTCACTTCTCAATCGATCAAAAAAAAATATGGGTTTATCTTCTCATCACTTCCTTTACTCTGTTTATTATATATATATATATTTCAATTTTCCTCTTTCCTCGTAACAAAATTTTCCTTTTTTTATTTTCTATTCTCTTAACATTTTCTTCTCTTTTCTCCCACTTTAACATTTTCTATGCTACCAAATGGCATATTAATTCCTAGAGAGAGAGAGAGAGAGGTGGAAGATGGATGGTGGTTGGCATATCCCTCTCTCCTATGTGTAAGGCTGTCTTTTGTATGGGAAGTACAACATAAGCATGTGAATATTCCTCGAATGTATACCCACAACAAAACTTTTTTTGTTTTTTCATCTAAAATATTTTGACTTAAATAATCTCAAAAATACCATTTTTTTTTTTTATTGCATAGCAATCTCATTATAAACACTTTATTTCTTTATTAAACGTCGCCAGAAGGATCCTCCAATGACGAGTGACAAAGGTGCATTGTCACCAATGCTAGCCCGTCTTTTTGGACATTTTTAATTTATAAACTCTGTATTTATAGTTTCTGCAGTAAATCACGAGATACATCCTAACCTTTGTAGATCGAGAAACCTATAAATTTAAAGGTCCAGAAGGGTAGGCTATATCTGACAATGCACCTTTATCATGAACGATATATATATATATATATATATATATATATATATATATAGGTTTCTCGATGCACTAAGAGTAAGGTACTGCACACAAAAAACATGGAGGATCCGAACTCCAGGGTTATAAATTTAAAGGTCCAGAAGGGTAGGCTATATCTGACAATGCACCTTTATCATGAACGATTCTCCTGATGATTTTTAATAAATAACACTGGTAGAGAGGCTGAACCTACGAAACTTCCGAATAAATTTACCGTGTGAAAAAGTACTAATGATATTTAATGCGGGGTAGAACCTGAGAACGCTCCAAATATGTCCCACCATCATAGGGCATTGGTGGGGCCCACACCTCCTAGGCCTTTCGGATCATTTAGAGGTTGTGGGCCTCCAAATAATTTTCCCATATATTTACCCACACAATTCACACACACACACACACACACATTTAACCTATTTGGTGAGAACTGTTTATGTCTCTGTCATTGCATCAGCGCAGGACCATCAAGTTTTTCTTTACACTAGATGGTCCGATAAAATACTCGGACTAACCTAATATTTATGTCATTTATTCATTTGCATTTGGGTGGTCCTAAAAAATGATGGATAAATATATAATTATACAACTGATATGTAAAGTTGGAAATTTTTGGACAGATATATAGATTAGATTTCCGCTAACACTGTAGAGCACGTATGTTAGTGCTGACCAATGGCTAAAAATTTACCTCTTTAGTTAAAGAAATCATAGATTTTTAAATTTCAATCAAAAGATTTTTATGCAAGTTTCAAATTAAAGAAAATTATCCAAGTTTGGACGGCTAAAGATGACGATCTTCTGTAAATCATCTCATTCAGCGTAACAAAGACATTGTTATTTAATTATCGAAAAAAAAAAGAAAAAAAAAGAAGAGACATTGTTATTGTATCAATCTGTCACAAGAACTGAATCTAAATGACCTTCAAAAGTTGCATATATTAAATAAAATATTTATCCAACAAATTACAAAAATAATCTTATGCCATCAATTTGTTAACAGTTGCATGACATCTATAAGGAAGGTAAAAATTGTTATGAATTTCAAATGTTTGTCCAAGTAGTTGGATTGTTCCCCGTCTGAAAGCTCGTGTTTGAGCCTTGACCATCCCTCTCCTCTGACTACTAATCCCTAATATTTTTGTCATGAAAAAATATATATTATTTATTATTATGAATAGAAACCACATGACTATATCATTTGAGTTACGGTTTTTATTTTCTTATTATTTTTATATACCCTATATATATATAATGTTTTCATGTGGTGCTAATTAGGTAGTAAATTCTTGAAGATGTGTTTAATTGATAGAGAAAAATAAGATTAGCTAAAAAAAAAAAAAAAAAACTTTTTTCTTGTTATACTCTTAATTTTTATCTTTTAAAAGGCTATGTCAAACATAACTGATTTTATTTATTTATTTATTTATTTTTTAATGAAACTGTCTATTATAGTCATTTTACTTCAATTGTAATTAATTACTAATTCAAATAATATCACTTCCCTAGAATAGTGCAAGAATTATATTAGCAGTAGGATTAGATCCTACAACTATAATTGAAAGTGAGTATACTTTATCCTGCTCATCGGGGAACAATTGAATACTACTGTGTGTGTATATATATATATATATTGATCGTGAATAAAGCAAAATTGTAAGGTAAGAGCAAGCAACAAAACACTGCTACAATAGATGGATATGGGCCTCTCTCACATCCTAACCTAACATGAAGACATCTATGTGCATTGGGCCGACCCAAGATTTGAGTTAATTGACACCGAGACATCAATGTGGGTATCAAAAGGTTGTGGGCTTTTGCATATTTAGCTCACTTTGCCCTTATGGGGACTCGGTGTTGCATTATAACTGTTGTTTTGAAGAAATGAGTTCTTTATATATATTGGTGAACCCAACCAAAATTGGTTCATTTTAATGTGATTTGAGAATTATTTAGCATTGAGATTGTAGGGCTAAAAGGGTTAGCCTAGTACATGAGACTCCCGCCATTCCAGGGTCTAGGAAGGTTGTTTCCTATTTTGAACCCATACCAAAGAAAATTGGCTGTAAAGTTGGAAAACCCGACCCTATTTAAAAGAATCAGCAGAATATGATAAATATCACACAAATTTTTATAAGGGTGTGTTCGATTGTATGGAATTGGAGTCTTAAAATTGGAATTTGTAGAATTTTAGAAAAACAACTAATAAAATTGAACCAATATTTTCTCAAATTCTATCAATTCCAATTCCAATTCTAAGGCTCCAATTCTATGTAGCCAAACATACCAAAAAAATTTTAAGATGGAAATTTCGAATTCAACATATATCCATGTTCATATTGAAATTCAGGATTAGCCTAAAAAATTAAACATGTCTTTAGAACTTTGATGCTGCACTATTGCTCCATTTTAGATGCCTAGATGGATCTGGAATTAATATTATTTCAATAGCCAAATGGTTATTGTTCGTGTTTGTGCATTTTGGTTAGCCCTGGACATGATGATACTTGGGCTTTACATGTTTGTACATTTGTTAACCCATAAGCCCAAAGAGCATTGCTAAAGGCATGGGCCTACTGATTGAGGGCTCACTTTGCCCTTAATTGGGCTTTTGAAAGGAATAACAATATCCATACTCCACTTTTGTACTCCTAAACTCCTTCGGCGATTGTTTAGGACCTTTGGCCCGTATTCGAAACTCACCACTACCAGCATCATTTTCCCTTTCCCTTTAGGCTTTAACATCTAACCCCACCAACCATTGCCAAGTCAAAAACAAAACTCATTCGGGCTTCTTTTATTTTTTTAACAATAAAAACTTCCAAAAAAACACTTTTGACCCTAAATTTTTGAGAAGTAATTATTTCATTTTAATTTGTTGAGGAAAAAAAAAAGTGAAATGAAAAAGCCCTAGAGTGAAGTGTGAATGCTGCGTTCCTTTACAAATTGCACCAAAATTGTTGTCATGAATCATGATATTGGTAAGAAAAAAGACACCCAGGGTATAGCTCATCAGAAATAATAAAAACTCTTTTGGTTCATGTGTTCGGAGATTGGGTGTTCGTTTCCTTTGGTGTACCTCTGAGTTTGAGTCTGGTGAATGCAAAACTAATAGTGTTGATGCTAAATTATAATAGTGTTGATGAGAAATGTATTCTAAGCTGTCCGACACTTAAACAAACAAACAAAAAAAAAAAATTAAATAAATAAATAAATTGATAAGAAGAAAATGTTTTTAGTAAAAAAGTCGAGGCACATATTGGAAAGAGCATCAAAGAAAGACACCACAAAGAAAACATTAGTTTTAAAGCGCCATTTGTGATTGGAATAAAGTGCTTGAGGATTCCATGCACACAATAAACTATATTGTTGATAATTATCATAATAATGGTGAATAAAGTCGGAATGCTAAAAAGAAAAAAATGCTTTTTTGCGATTGATACTTTACTATAGAAACAAAATTTTAGTTAAAATTATTTAAAAATTCATATGTAAAAAAGTTATGTTATTTAAGGCAAATTCCGGAATATATAAAAATGAAGTCAAGATATATCGAAGTTGAGTTTGCGCTTGAGTACAAGCCCAAATTGAGTTGATATGGATCTAAATGATACTACCAAGAGAGAGAGCTTTTTCACAATAATTATGTATTAGATTAAAACAATTTTAAAAAGTCAAATGAATATTTAAATATCATTATTTTTACTTATTTTTTTATTTTTTAATATTAGTTAGATTCTATGGTCACTTTATTGTACGAGTTATAGGATAGCTGGCACCGTTTCTTTTAAAAAAAGTTCGATTCACTTAAGGAAAAGAAAATTCTAGAACATATACAATTTAAATAATAACTTTTGAGAAGATGAAATTGTTGATCAAGAACCGAGTCTAGGTCAAGTCAAAAATTCATACTTCGATCATCCACCTCACGGGTTTTCTTGAATTAGTGGAGGAATTTAGGAACGTGTGGAGCAGGAGGAGGAGGAGTAGAAGCATTCAAACAGTGAGACACCCGCTTATAAATAAAAATGATATTTCAATTCAATTGTCATAATTAATACATACACACACACACATATATATATATATATTTGAACACTACATCGGAAATCAAGAGTGAAATGTGAAGTGAAAATATGATAAGTTTATTTTATTTTATTTTAAATGAGAAATTATAATTTTATGATTTTAGTAATATGAAACTTACCATTCTGTTCCAAAATTGTTGGGCTTTTTAGGGAATTTAACTTTTTATGGTGTTAGATTTTTAATACATTTTGTATTGAAAAGAGTGAACTTTTAAATTTATCCATACTAAAAGGCAAAGGCAAAGAGATATGAGTTAAGTCACGCAATTATTTTTAACAGGTGTCGTTATCATACTCTGAGCGCGCTCTCGCTTTCACGCTCCGCGCGCGCTTTTACTCAAATTCTCACTTTTTATTACAAAATTTTGCCGCTCTCACACTCCCGCTTTATGTAACTTAAGATATGAGTGCATTTTATTAATCAAGTCAATGCCAAAATTGTAGTCTATAAACATTATAGAAAAGCCACATGTAATTTGAAATTCCAAAAAAAAAAAGAAAAGATGGACAATAATTTTGAGGGGAGGGAGTATTACCAAACTTTTCTTATTATTATTATTTTTTATCAGAACTTTTCTTATTTTTACTCACCAAATTTCTAAATTGTTGAAAAAAAATTCATTTCCCTTTTTGTTTTTTGGGCTAACCAAAAGGAGCCTTTAAAAATTTGGATGGAAAGAAATGGTGAATTTTGAGAAATTAGGTTAGAAGGGATGGAATTAGCACGATGCCAAATAGAAACTACGTTGGATGGTCGGTCCCCTTTAAGTTGGGGGCTCATGGCTGCGTGAAAAGAACCACCTGTTTTTCATTATTATTGCCTTTGTATATGTCAGTTGTTCTACACAAATCTGACCGTCCGACTATTGATACTTTGATTCCTTTGCGCAGCCTTCCTTTTTCTACAATTTGATTCAATTCAAAGCCCTACGCATGTCACTTGCGAGTCACTGTACCTGGACATATAATGAGATGCGTAGACCACTCAGCTTTAAACCTTCCATAGTTCAGACCTTTTCCACACATTTGCACACAGGATTCTCTGATATTAGCAGAAAAATTACCACTCACCCATCTTTCATGGCAAGCGTTTCGACCCAACAAGAGCCCGTTTCGACTCAGGATGGGTCGATTCAGAAGACCCATCAACCCTTGCAGGTACACCCATTTGGCATTTCTTTGATTTAAGCTTGATTTCATTCCAATTTCTTGATGGGTTTGTTTTGAATCGTTATTCTTCATGTTTGTAGATGTTGGTTCTGTTTGCTTTTTCTGTCTCTTTCTATATGTCTCTCATTCCCAGCTTTGTTCACTTTTACACTGGCATAACCTTTAATCTATCATTATATCATCAATTTCTATAATTTGTGTTTAATTCCCGATTCAAAGTTTATATTTTTCTTTTTTTTTTTGAAGTAATTAATAGATGTTTCGTACAGATTTGCAATTTCGTTGGTTATTAGTTTAAATTGAACTGAATTGATTTGATTCCTAATTTGTGGTGCTGTATGTTACCACATCATTATTCTCACAGTATAGACTGAAAGTGAGGCAAGCAGAATGCTTATGGAGAGCAGAACAGTTCAGAATTGTGTTTTTTGGTTTGTGTAATGTGATTTTTGGCCTATTTTAATGTTGCATTTCCTGGGTTGAAGCTTAGGACTAGAAGGGAATGGGGTTGGATATTGACATCCATCGAGATTCTTGTTGCAAAATTGTATATTCAGGCTCTTTGTGCGTGTCATCGAAATTGGTGATTAGAAATACATTTACAAGAACCAGCCCTCGATTTCACCCGTATGCCCCCCTTCCCCACTCAACACGCAAGACAAGACTCACTGGGACGCCATCTGTTAACACCGTGTGCCCTTAATCCTATTGTCATAGAACCTTTCACTTGCACCATTTCCTTCATGGTCAAACTGTCAAAGTTGATTATGTGAACGTGCTGAACAATCCCGGTCAATTGTCTGTTATTATACCCATCATTGAAGTTGCTTCATTCGTGGTCAGTTGTCTGTTATTATACCCATTGTTGTTTCATGATTCTAGCATGTTACCATGGTCAAATCATTCATTAACATTAATAAAGTACCACAATGTTTCCCAAAAGGTGGTGCTATATAAACGATCCATTACTTATACCTCAATAATAAATGAAGGCAATGAAAGACTTTTAAAAATGACTAGCTAGAGTCCACATGTATGAATTGAAGGAGAAAGCTACAAAAATTGGTGCCCTTTGTAACCCTTTAATATGAATATTCGTTGCATTCTTTAGGGGACATGTTCCATTTTCTTTGTGGAAGCCATTAATTTGTCCTAATACCATAAGCTTTTAGCAAAATTTTGTTGCTATTCAATTTACCTTTCTTAAATTAAGTTGACCTATAACATCTATTGAATTTGTCCCTTGTTTATCAGCTTACTGAGGCATTTGGCATTCAAATTTTTACAATAGGGGCTCTGCACTGTTCTTACCAATATTTTTTACCCCTTGCAAGTTGCACCAATAATCGGGAAAGGTCACAGCAAAAAGTATTCCTATGGCAGCTTTAGTCTTATTATCTTTGTGTTACAGTAGAGAATAACAATATGAACATTTCTAAAAGTCCACTGATTCTTTTCCTTTTTCCCTTTATTTTGGTATGGAGTTGAGAGATGTTAAGAACTTGGTTATTAAAGTAGTGCCTTATGCCCCACAGAAAAAGCCCTAGGCTCATCAAAACCTAACCGCAATGTGTCAACCTACTACAGGCATGACCCTTGCACTCAGGCACATATAAAAGTCTCAATTTTCAAGTGAGCTTTTAAGTATGCTCCTTGATAATAAAAAAACTTGTGCCTCTATATTTTAAAACTATTCAGTCATATGTTTTTATCATATTTGCTTTTTTAAAGGCTGCTTATTAACATGCTATGTATCACATCATGGTCATATCATATCCAATTGATTGTAGTTTTTAATAAACAGAGGTTTCAGATTTCATGGGTTTATGGTTGACTATGTGTTTTAAATATATCTAGCTGTTGAGTTTGAATATTTATGGTAATGTAGTGCATGTTTAAAGTCTATAATAGCATTTTATTTTACACTTGAAGTGGTATTTTGATTTAATTGATGATTGCATATATTGATAGGATGTATGAGCAACCAACAGGCCAGTGGCCTAGCGATACTAGGTCCCAACTTCCCAAAGGAAGGTTAGGGGTTTGAGCCTCCATTGAGGCATGTGTGTGTGAGTACCAACTAAGAAAAAAAAAGAAAAAGAAAAAAAGAAAGGATGTATGAGCACGAACTTAGCTGATCCTTTTAGTTGATATGCCGGGAATTTCTCTTTGGAGAAAAAAGACTAGCTTTGTGTTGTCTACTTTAAATTGGTTTGATTTATAATTGATTTAGCTTAATGCATACGCTAATTGAAAAAACTACATATACTTTGACTTTGAATTTGCGAATCTATTGAATTCACATGCTTAAAAATTCCCCATTTTGATGTTAACACTAGTTTGTTGCATATTTCAAATTTTAGTTATAACTATACATGATAAACATTATTGTCACACAAGAACCTTAATTTGCTTGTACTCTGGTTCCTTTGTATATCTCCATTCGTCTGGACAGCGGTGAGAGAGAAATATTTGACTGTAGCAATTAATGTGTATGAATTTCGTTATATAGAGTTTGTTATTCCAGTGACCATCTTCTTCCATTATAGCGCACTCATGTTCTCTTCTTGAGGTTTGCTGGATGATGCTGATGACATTGATAGATCTTTGTGCAGTTGGTGGATTAAGGCTAACAATTGGAGATATATATATATATATATATATATATTTGATAAGTCTAACAATTGGAGGTTAGTAGTGCAAAGGACATTTGATTTTCTATTAAATAAACCTGTTTACTTTCTCTCTAATAGCTTAAGGTTTTAGATAAGCTGTTTGTTAACAGAACTAAATTTTGTGAATGAAAAGTTTTATATCCTAAAACTAAAGTATTTGATATTTTAAATTCTTGTTTGTGTGGGGAACCAAATCAAGTTCTTTAGCTGGCTTTGCCTTTTTAAGTTCTATTTCTATTTTTGTTCACGTGTAGTGTGTGCGTGTCTGTGCCCTCGCGGGTGTGTGTGTGTGTGTGTGTCTCTCTCTATATATATCTGGTACTTAAATCATTTAAAAGAAGCAAATATGAATTGAAGAAGGAAATAATCTGTTATTTTACAGAATAAAAATCAGTTACTCTTCATCGTCACCATTGTTCAGCCATAGCCTAAATAATTAGCATAGATGTGTGAGTTTTGATATCCACTACGTACTTCCACCTTTTAGTGAAGTTACACCTTAGTGATGCAAGACAGTTTGGAAATGCACTTTAGATTGTTATGAGTTCAATCCCAGAAACATTATATGTAAAATAGCAATGTAAAATAACAATGAAAAACTCATATGTTAACTTCTCTGAAACACCCAAAATACCTTTTAAAAATTTTAATACTTCCATCAGAATGTACCTCTTTGGAGGTTAAAAACCTTTTTTGACAGATGAAATTAAGAATGTTACTCAAAATCTCTGAGAAGATCGAATTTTCTCCATTAGAATGGTGGACAGATGTTTGTTCTTGTGCCACCTTGGTATGTTTTTGTGTAAGTTACTGGTGGCTTATGTCTTCACCACCAACCCCCCCAATCCCACTCTCCCCCTTCTTGGGAGTAACTAACTTTATGATATTGTCTTTTATTAAATGTTTTTAGTTTGAAACATGATGCCTGGAAGCTACTCCAAGTGTTCATTTTGATTCAGCTTGCAATCTTAATCTTTCTTGAACAGTAAATAATTAAATCAAAGGTGAAAATAGACTTCACCTTGCTGGGATTAGTCCTCCCCATCAATGATAACCTGGTCTCTGGTCAGTAGATTTGAGCTGGGGTTTGCTGTGGTTTGATACTTCTGCAATGAATAAGTCCCTGTTGTAGATTTACCTACTTATATTTGCTTTATGATGTAGAATTTCAGTATGGGGTCTAAGTTTGGCACTCTGTTTTTTTCAACAGAAAGAATTTATCATATAAAACTCTTATATGGAAAAATGTTTTTCTTATCATTCTCGCGTGTTTGGGTGAATTTTTAAAAATAATTGACACTCTTTATATGCATGTGTATAGAGGTGAATATAAGTATTTTATATGACTATCAACGGCCAGTGGCCTAGCGGTATCAAGTCCTTACTTTCCAAAGGGAGGTCAAGGGTTTAAGCCTCAGTGGAGGACATGCGTGTGAGTACTAACTAAGAAAAAAAAAGTATTTTATATGACCATGTAGTAAGTATAAATACATGAATATAATTGAGTATACATGCAAATATTTATATAAGGGCATTTATATGTACTTCTATAAGCACATGCATAGATTTATATATACATAGATATGTTAATGTGGCTGTGTAGGCACATATATATGCACTGGGCAAGTGTCTATGGGCACATATATAACTTATATACACATGCCTATAGTTTCGTCATATACGTCTTGAGTGTCTATTAATAAAAATAACTTGCAGAAAATTAATACGTAACTAACTTTCAGGTTTTTCAAGCAACTGTTGTTTTCTAAAGAATGTCTAAAACAATTGACAAGCATCCAAATGCTGAAAACATTTTTTGGGAAATCTCTTCTTTAGTTGGGTCATGTAAAGCATGAATTGATTGTAACTTTGTAAGTCAGATCCTCATTGATAACCAAACCAAAGATTTAAAGAATTGGCCTGAATAAGAACAAAATAAAGTTTTGCGCACCTGATAAAATAAAGCAACAGAGCATGTGGCAAAATCCATTTCTAGCTGGAATTTTCCAATATGCTGTAACTAGTCATGATACGTCAGTTTATAACTCACATTAAGGGCTCTTTATTAGAATCATTATCTATTCAGAGCAATACAATTTACTGGTTCTCCTCTGCTTGGACAATACGGTTAGTCTTAGCTTACATTATTTGTACCATTGCCCATTTATTTATTGTCGTTAAAGCCTACAACATAATCTATCCAAATACTACTAACTTCTGACCGAGTGAGTTCATTTTTCCAAATTTTGATCCCAGTTGTTGGATATCTGATTAATGAATTGTTTTTGCAACCAAAATTTGATTTTCTATCTCGTCGTTGTTTCTTTGTTAGACAATACAGGGGAATGTTACTATGCTGATAGTGATAACTGATATTACTCTTTTGTTCTTAATTCTCCACGTTTCATTGTCAGGTTGCAAAGCGCTTGGAGAAATTCAAAACGACAATATTTACTCAGATGAGTATGCTTGCTGTCAAACATGGAGCTATTAATCTCGGGCAAGGCTTCCCCAATTTTGATGGCCCAGAGTTTGTGAAAGAAGCAGCCATTCAAGCAATCAGAGATGGGAAAAACCAATATGCCCGTGGATATGGAGTTCCTGACCTCAACTCTGCCGTGGCCGAAAGGTTCAAGAAAGATACTGGACTTACGGTGGACCCTGAGAAAGAAATTACCGTTACCTCAGGATGCACTGAAGCTATTGCTGCAACCATGTTAGGCTTGATAAATCCAGGTGATGAGGTGATCGTCTTTGCCCCTTTTTATGATTCTTATGAAGCCACTCTGTCGATGGCTGGTGCCGAAGTTAAGTGTGTCACATTACGGCCTCCAGATTTTGCTGTCCCCATTGATGAGCTCAAGTCTGCAATCTCTAAGAACACTCGTGCAATCCTTATGAACACTCCCCATAATCCCACGGGAAAGATGTTCAGCCGGGATGAACTCAATGTGATTGCATCTCTATGCATTGAGAATGATGTGTTAGTTTTCACGGATGAAGTTTATGACAAGTTGGCTTTTGAAATGGATCACATTTCTATTGCTTCCCTTCCTGGAATGTATGAGCGGACTGTAACCTTGAATTCTTTGGGGAAGACATTCTCCTTAACAGGCTGGAAAATTGGGTGGGCAATAGCTCCCCCGCATCTGACATGGGGAGTGCGACAAGCTCATTCGTTCCTCACTTTCGCCACATCCACTCCGATGCAGTATGCAGCTGCAACAGCTCTTAGAGCTCCGGACTCTTACTATGCAGAGCTGAAAAGGGATTACATGGGAAAAAAGGCTATTTTGGTGGAGGGATTGAAGGCTGTCGGTTTCAAGGTATACCCATCAAGCGGAACCTACTTTGTGGTGGTAGATCACACCCCTTTTGGGCAGGAAAATGATATTGCGTTTTGCGAGTATCTGATCAAGGAAGTTGGAGTGGTGGCAATACCCACGAGCGTGTTTTACCTAAACCCTGAAGATGGAAAGAATCTTGTAAGGTTTACGTTCTGCAAAGACGAGGGGACTCTAAGGGGTGCAGTTGAGAGAATGAAAGAGAAGCTGTTGAAGAAGTGATCATCCGAATGCACGGATGTTCATCATTTGACTGAAGAGCATTGTGCTACGTAGAAATTTAAAGGTAATCGGTATTCTCCTTCCTAGCAGACTGTAGACAAATAATAAATTTATAAAATGATGAACATTTTGAATTAGTTGTATGAATTTTGCTGCTTGTGATGCTGAGAAATTCTAATCTTAGTAGGAAATGCAAAGTGAATTTCCAGATTTTATGCACCCTTTGCTCTAACTTTTGTGCAGCCATATGGAGCACAATAGGTTGAGACTTGGTAATGGTTAATGTCTCCTTGTTGATATGTCAATGCACACTATATGAGATTTGGTGTTAATATGTTTGGTTAATCAATGGAAAGTTCAGAATTAGCTGAGAATTTCCAGTTCGGCCAGCTCCACTTATTAACTGGTTCAGTAACATATTAGACCATGTAACTTAACGACCGTGGCCTACATTAGAAGGTAATTACTGAAGTATGTTGTGCAAGTTTCCATCGTGAGACTGTCATATAGACATGTATATGTTTATTGTATGTAACTATATATGTGTGTATATATCATATTTTGCATGCACATTTGCCCTACTCTAGTATCCTCTCCTGTACACCATTGGTGTTGTACAATCAAGGGCTGAGATTGAAACGCACAGGGGGACCATTAATTGTTATACACCCCACCTATGTTGTATAACACTCCCGGGTCGGATTGGCATTGCTGGAACTTGTAATACTTACTTTTATTATTATTATTATTCATGTAAAGCTGTAAAAAAAAGTGGTTATCCGAGGACCCAGTACCTCTACTATTTGTTTGGTCACGTAATATGTAAAACACATTTTATATATTAATTATATATATATTTTTTTACCTCTTCTTAAAAAAAGCTTCACTGATCCAAAATCTCTTTGATTATATATGTGAATTCAGAAACGATCTGTTGTTTATTGGTGAACAAGAAATTTGTTCACACAAATAATCGTTAAATATGATTATTATTATTTTTTATATATAATTTTACCTTTATTACACTCAAATCATATTTGATGTAGACATTGTGGAGAAAGTTTTTTTTTTACAAGAGATCATTACTCATATACACGGCCATGCATATTTTGTATGTAGGCGTGTGTTTGACATTTTTTAAATTTAGAATGGTTGGGAGATATATTTTGTATGTAGGTGTGTGTTTGACATTTTAAAATTTTAGAATGGTTGGAAGATTTATGGAAAATGAGTAATGATACTTACACCGAATATTTATAGTGAATAATTTTTGATTAGTTATTTATACTAAATACAAATAAGTAAAGGAGCACAGTCAACCGGGCCGGTTGTGCTCTTCCGTTTGTCCTTCCTTGCACTTACTGTGGACGCTGCCATCAAAATGTGGAAATCAAAATTGTCACCCAACTGAGTTACTGATCCAACAACAGTAATATTGTTTCAAAATTTTATTTTTACACGCTATTGTGTCATTTTCAACCCACCCAACCTTCTCAATTAATAGTTGGGTTATACGAAACTAGTATTCACTTTGTAGCTGTGTTTTTCTTTTAATACCAAAATATTATTTTTTGATACACATGTTTATATGTATCAATATTATACTATGTTAAAATTTGATGTGGAACCTTGTAAATGTCTTAGATATTTTAAATTTTTTTTTTTTTTTGTATCATTAATTCATTATAGAACCCCATTGGTGTAGACCTTTAGTCTATATATACATATGTATAGGAACGTATGTATATATTCCTATACATTGACAGATAAATACAAAAGTATATTTAAGTAAAAAAAATGACGCAATCACTTAATTTATTCTGTCTCAGATACAGATCGTATAGATCATTCAGGTCATTATCAGTAGTCTATTCGCTAGTAAAATTGTGAAAATGTTATGTCTTACGAACATTGATCCAACTCTTATTAATGCGAATACACACGCCAATCACAAAAATCAAATGAATTTGTGGGAGAGATAGGAAAACTTTTATCATCTCGTGAGTTCTAAACTTTAACAAATATATTTATCCTAATATAATATGAGATACCATTGTGAAAAATTATATATACATCAAAAACCTTAGAATATAAATTTTCTAACCAAAATTGACTTGAGCAATGTTAATGCATTTCCAATAATCCATAAATTTTACTACACTTCCACCAAATATACGTACACTACCCATTAAACTGCTAATTAATTCAACCAAAACTCTATGACTTACAAGAGCACTTCATTTCAGCCCACATTAGTTTAGCCTGTTCCGGAGTCAATTCAACACGACGTCATAGGTATAATTTGATTTCATCAACCTGCAAATTGCTCCACTTCTCCTACAGCTTCTCTGCCTCGGCACTTCCAATCCAACACAAACTCATTCTTTCTTTCAACAAGTTCCTCCCAGATTCCGACAATGAGAGACACAACTCATTCAATCTGGGATACATCGACAAAAAAAATCCATATATAAGGAGTTTCCATTATTTATCGGGGTATATATATATAATTATTGCTGCTCACGTTTCCACACAAAATGAGAAAACAAATTCATGAGATTCCGGCTAATCACAAATGGACATATAATCAATAAAACTGATGTTTTTTATTTAATTCTATTCTATTAATTAATTCAGTACCAACTCTGCACGAAAAGATTACCATATTTTGTGTGCACCAAATTATACTCGCGAGACGGAATCAATTCCTCAAGACGGAAAGAAAGAGAAGTTGACATACCTCAAAGCTTAGTGCTTAAAGTTCCTATCCCATACTAACCCATAGCTTTAGTGCTTAAAGTTGGTAATTAACCTATTCTCTTGGTTTTGTGTTTGGAACATCTAATCAGCGTCTTGAATTTGAGATTGAAGAAAATTTAGTTTAAAATTTTAATTAAATTTCTTTTAATCTCAAATCCAAATCACTAATTTGGAACACCTAATCAACGTCTTGAATTTGAGATTGAAGAAAATTAGTTTAAAATTTTAATTTAATTTCTTTTAATCTCAAATCCAAATCACTAATTTGGTACTCTCAAACACAGCTTAAAAATGATGAAATAAAAGAGTAATTTTTTTTTTTTTTTTTTTACTAGTAACATATATTAATTCAATCCACGGGATGACACAAGTTTTGAATGTTTGGAGCCATGGAAGAAGTCCGGAGGTATTCTTATGAAAAAAAGTTTAGAGTCAGGAATGTTGAGGTGAATGATATTATCCTTATTCCACTGGAAAATGTTGTATGACGTTGTTGGAATTGTCATTTTTTAATTATTAACATTGTATTTTTCAATTCTAATGGCAAAGAATCTCAAGGGAATAATTTAATGAAAAATACTCTTACATCACATTTTGTTATGGGACAATATAATTGCGTATCATTTTGACAAACCTGAGGAAGTGGTGTGCAATTTAGCTTTTTTTTTTTAATTGACAAGGATAATATGGGTTATATAAATGGACTTAGTAGAGTGTTAACTCCAATTTCAAAGAAAGGCTAGGGTTGGAACCTCTGCATGACTTGTTTTAACTTCCAAATAATAATAAATAATGGGATAATATGAAGAGCAAATATGACATTTCATCACTCAATCTTAATGGCATATTTTGTGTAATTAAATTTAATTTCGGAGTGTAACGTACCATCAATTTTACTCTACTTTTGTCGGTTTCAAATTGACCTACGCTTGAGTTATATCGATTTAACGCATTTATGTATTTATACTCTTGAATTTTTTACTTATGAAAAGACCCATATATAGAACGGCTTAATTTAACTATTAATTTTTTTATTCAAATAAAACTATGTCACCGTTTGAGGGGTTATATTTTGGATAAATTACACCGATTTTTTTTTTGAAGTTTGGATGAATTACACACGGATAGAGGATTTGGCCTTTATTACTTTGACCTCCTTTAGAAGTATAAAATGATTTTCATATCCTTATATAGTTTAATAAAAACCTTAAAGATTTAGGCAGATTATACACCTACGTTGACATTACTTAAAAGTGTGAAATGTCTTCGTACCCTTATCTAATTTTAATTGGCCGTGAGTGTAATGTACCATCAATTTTACCTACTTTCGAGTTATATCGATTTAACGCATTTATGTATTTATACTCTTGAGTTTTCTACTTATGAAAATACTCATATATAAAACGGCTTTATTTAACTATTAATTTTTTATTCAAATAAAATTATGTCACTGTTTGAGGGTTTAAATTTTAAATAAATTACAATGATTTTTTTTTTTTTTTTTTTTTCTTAAGTTTGTATGAATTACACACGGATAGAGGATTTGGCCTTAATTACTTTTACCACTCTTAAAAGTATGAAAGTTTTTTATATCCTTATATAGTTTAATAAAAATGATAAATTACACTTATCTCCCTTAATAAGGTTTGAACAAATTACACACGATACACTGACATTACTTAAAAGTGTGAAATATCTTTGTACCCTTATCTAATTTTAAACTAGTTTAATAAATAAAAAAAAAATCCATTAAACCAAAGACTATTACCTTTATTTTCCCAATATTACCCTACCTTTTTCAAAAAAAAAAAAAAAAAAAAAAAGAATCTGATCAAACCCTAAAAAGAAATCTAATCAAATGTCGTTGACAAAAAAATATTATTTGTAAAATTTAATAATATAAAATTGGTATGAAATTGATATTTTGTATTTCAGTGGTATTTCATAATATTTTTGCCATTTCGTGTCAAAATATAATGTTATTGAGGTCCTTTAAAACAAGGGAAGGGCAAATTAGTCTTTTTAATTTTAATTAATGACATGGGGTGTCATTGAGCACACGTGCCAAATCTCAAGAAAGGTCAAAGTAAAAAAGGTGAAACCAGGTCAATATAATTTATCCAAATAAAAAAATATATCTAACCAAAAGACTCTATTATCCTTTTATTTTATTTTTTGGAAAAAAACAAACTAATCAAATCCTAAAAATAAACCTAATTAAATGTCGTTAACAAAAAAAATATTTTTTTTGATAAAATTTAATAATATAAAACTAGTATGAAAATTGATAATTTGCATTTCAATGGCATTTTAATGTTATTTTTGTCATTTCATGTCAAAATATAAAGCTATTAAAGTATTTTAACAACAGAAAATGATAATTTAGTTATTTTTTGAATTTTTATTAACAGTAGGGGTGTTATTGAGCGTCCACACTAAATCTTAGAAGAGGTCAAAAT